AAGCGGTGTTGTGTGGCATATCCTGCCACGAAACTGAGCTCCGCAGGGAGCAGGGATGTCACACAGCCCTCATCCCGGGGCAGCACCGGGGCGGACGGTTCGGGAGCATTTCAGGCAGAGGCCAAGCAAAAGAAGGAAGGCAAAGGCAGCGCTGTGTACACCACAGACCAGCTGAGAAGGCACTGGGACCTCACAGCTCTGAATTACAAGCAGGTGCATGTGACAAATATAATGGGGGGATGCTTGGGTTTGATCTTCAATCAATTAGGGAGTCAAAGAGCAGCGGCCTTATGGGATGTAAGAAATAGCTTTCCACTTAGAAAGGCAGGCAGTGGCAAGGCTGACAGCCGCTAGCCATTAAGGCTTAGTGGAGGTCAGTAATTTCGCTATTAGAAAATGGACGCTGAGCGAGGAGAACGCTGTAAAGCTGGTCTGCGAGGTGATGGATGCCGGGGGACAGGGGAGAGCAACTTGCCCCTGTCTGGACCCCATCCATGTTCACAAGTGAATAGGGGCAAGGAGACACTGCTCCACAATTCCTTGAGAGCACCTTCACTTCAAATGTTCTCCTCTAGTTTGAAATAACGCTAATCCCGTGCCAGGTACTAAACACTGGGGTCACACCGCTGACACAGCCAGAGAAGATTTGGGGCTGTGGGGGGGAGTGACATTAAAAATGGAGGAAGGACTTCAGGGCAGTATGAGGTTCTCCAGAAATCCGCTACTCAGCGCACAGACACCTTGTTATAGGACAACTTTTGTTATTTCTCCTCAAAATGGCTTTGATTTCAGACCAATATTTGGCAAGGAATCCAGCCTGTTTTGTGCTCTCATTGTACAATCTGCTCCTACTTTTGCTCCCAATCCTCTTTTTTTAGTAAAAGAATTTCAAAGGCATATTTGCCGCACATGTCCCTTTGCACCTATCCTGCCCATTACTCTGTCCAGTGTACGTGTTTACTGATATCCCACCATAAGGGCTCCTTCAGAGACAGGTCAGGTCCAAAACTTCCATCATTTTAACCAGGTGCTTAAGTATGACTGCCTCTTCTTGTTAGCCATCTCGTTTTGCTGGGGACTCGGACAAAGCTATGCATGAGCAGTTCCGAACCTACCCTGTTAAATCTCCGATGCTATCATTACATTTCTCCTCTTCTCTCTCCCTCCTCTCCCATACTAATGAAAAAGGCCACCCTTTAAAATAAAAATTGAATTCATGCACCCACAAGACAATGCTGGGCTTAAATCCAACAGCATGCTAGGATCTTACTGTTCAAGCTGCACCTCACTCTCTGGCTATACTGGCTCTCCTCTGTTTGGAGATTCTTGGGAGAACATAATGGAGATCCCCAAACGCAGCTGGAACCTCCCTGTGAAAAAGCTCACAGGCTGTCCCTGAGGTAACGCATTTATCAGTGTCGCTTGGAACCTCCCAGTGAGCGCAAGGAAGTTACTGCTCCCCAAACTATTGCACAGCAACGGAATTTGTGGTCTCAGACTTCCCCTGCATTGCTCATTTTGTGTCTAGGATAAACCAGAAAGAAGTAACAAAAAAGCAGACTGGCATAACTTTTAGTTCAGCTTCCTTTGGAGAGGCAGCTTAGTTAACGATCTGCAAGAAAGGAAAAAGGCTTCATGAAGCCAAAGTTTCTAACTGAAGTCTGCTCTGCACAGTACCTGTACCAGTTCAGCTATGCCAGTATTATTACGACTAAAATAACCATACAGGTGACACAGGTACAGCGGGACAGAAATGCCCTATACTGATATTATTCTTTTCCCCAAACAGTAAAAACTGTTTTCATAGCCAGACAAACATTCTCACCAGGAGTCAGTGCAGCTCAACCAACCCACAGTAATTAATGCAACAGAACTGTTCCATGTAGGTAATGTTGTAAAAGAGCTGGATTTTCAGGCACCCAGAATCTGACCAGAAGAAAAAGGATTTTCCTCTGCAGCTCTGTCCCAATAATCTTTAGAGCTGAGCGCTTACAGTCTGGGTATCAAGCTACGGTATCAAGCTCAGCAGATGTCTCTGGTTATGTGAGACAAGATTTTAAGCCCTCCGTCTTCCAGACAGAAGGCACTACACAAAGGCTACTTAGCACACCCTGCAAAGCATGCTAAAGAGGACTCAAGGAGTCTCACTACGAGATGAGAACATTCACCTTTAAGCTTGGGTCACCTGGATTTCAGAGCAGATGAGCCAAGCTCAATGGTTTCCTTAATTACGTATGTGCAAGGCAGCAAAGCGACACAGTTTTGCAAGGACTTGGTTGTGAAGCAAGTTGGCTTGCCCTGAAACGCACTAGCTTCACTGGTGGTTACGGGTCTCTGCTACTTTCCAGGACCGCAAGAACACACTAAGGCAGGTTTTCTCTACCTCAGACCTCCTCTGAAGGCCGTCACCATGGGCAATCGCCTAAAATTACAGAGGAGATCACTGTCAAAGGCTAGGGTGAGGGACTAGCCAAGAAACTAAGCTTTCGACTCCCATTCTAATCCCTGGGCTTTTCTTCACCAATGCTCGGACCTCAGAGTAGCAGTAAGCATTCTCTTGTGCCAAACAATGGAAGGAAACAGTCCTTTATACAGAAAATTGGGAATAGGAGAAAAAAGAAAAGGCAGCAGTGTTGAAAGCCATAATGCAAGTGTTCATACTAGTGAGCACACGCAGGTGTGCACGAGGGCCATCCAGGGGCACAAGAGGAAAACACAGGTTTGCTCAGGCCCTGACCTTGTTTTCCTGCTATCACAGTTTAACCTATTTCTTCCTCTCAGTGGGAGACAATAAAACCTCAGCCCAATCCATCACCAACCGGGGAGGACACAACAGGTGAATTAAACCCAGAAAGCAGATGGGGCACTGTCTCTGCCGGCCCCAGCTGTCACGTCTGCGAGCTGTCTAGCCTTTGGGATGCTGCTGCTGCTGTCTCTGGAGCCAGCCCCATCGCACCTTCCAGCCCAGGCCCTGGGCGCTGCTGACACCGGGAACAGAGCCGGAGCCTGTTCCTTCCAACCGGGCCATGCACGAGTGGCGTCCGGTCGCCTTCTGCTCCTTGCTCTGGAGCAGGTGGAAACGGCCAGTCCTCCTTCTCTTTGGGACAGCAAGGCTGGGGGACCCATTTGCAAGGGACAAAACATCTAGAAATGCTGAGGGATTGGAGCAGTAGATGCTCCCTGCCTGAATTACGTGCTCTTTTTTCAGTCCCTGCTGCACTCAGAGTGCTGCCTGCCCCGTTTGCCCCAGCTATGCCAGCTTTTCCCCATATGCTGTATCAGAGCTCCCAGGAAAACGGAATGGAGAACCACTGTACAACAGCAGTGAGAGTCTAGCCTACCGGGCAAGAATCACACACTCCTCTAAGGCATCAAGACAAAGCTTAAACAAGAGACCTTCAGACAAACTGACTGAAAAGTACCGAGGAGCACAGAAATGGTATGCTGGGGGACCGCTGGCTAATAACTATTAAGTACTTTTTCTTCATTTCCTAATAAACAAGGCAAAGCAATTACAGTAATTAAAGATTTAAGATAAGAGCACTTTATATTTGGGGGGCCCAGCATATCAATTATATAGTTATCATGTTGTTCTCCCTCCTAATGAGACAATCTAGCACTGTAATTTTGCAGAATTAAAAGCATAATTAAAGGGGGCAGGAGAAGAAGGGCAGTTTACCAAACCCGATTAGGAGGGTTCCCTCTCCTCTGCGGCTCCTGCGCGCATGCACAGTGCAGACGCATTCCCCAAACACCTTTTCATTTCCAAGCGATAACCCTTGAACGTGGCTGTTGGACAGCTGCAATGATAAACCCAGACTTTAATTACAGGCAGGTTTTATGAGGAGAGCTGGTTACTGTTTTGTCTCCCTCCTTTCTAGCTCCCAGTTGCTGAATGTACCATCATCTGCTGGAAGGCAAGGGGGGAAATAGCTTATCTGCTCAGGAGTAAGAAACACATAAAGCATAAGAAAAGCAATTACATGCCTTCGGTTTCCACTCCTCTGTTTTTATAGGGCTTGTCTTGGAATCTGAGTGATTTTATGCATCACCGGAAGATGACGATCACGATGAGCTGCAATGATATGCATGGGAAGCCAAGACGCAGTGCCTTTAGGTATTTATTTTCCTGTAGTTACAGGTCTTCTAAACATAGTATTTTTTCAGAGAGATGAGAGAACCCGAAATTTTGCAGCTGAATATTACGGGCACTGAGACCATACATAAGGGCCCAAGCGAGAGTTACCAGAATGTAACTACAGACAATCCCTTCTCCTCTCCCTCCTACCCTGCATGACTCCAGGGTGAATGTATACAGTACTGAGAAAGACACGCTCACAATCTGTAAGTGCCGAGATAAGCCCCGGGATCTGAGTGAATCTTTGCCTACTGCAACACCACGGCTTCTACCTTCAGACCAGAGAGGCACTCAGGATCAGTGAGACACAGCTATGCTCTTTGACACTTCTGATCAAGAACATGTAACAACCACCACTGCTGCTACCTCCTTCCCAAGCTTTGTTCCCCAATATTAAATTATCCAGCTTACACTACATCAGAATTTGGGGTCAACTGAAAGCAAAAGGCAGGACTTTGGACCCATGCACCCGTGTGTATTTTCAGACAGCTACGTAAGAGGCCCACAGATGACTTCTTGGTCATGCAATGCGTTGGCCTCACCAGCCACAAAGACGCAGAATGCTGGACAGAGGCTGAAATGCAATTTACGGCCTGCAAATACAGATGCCTTCAGTGCAAACACAAGGCCAACAGTGCAATGCCCCACAGGGCCCTACAAACCCCAAACAGGAGCGAGTAAGTAGAAAAGAGGACCCAGTGACTCTCTCTGAGCTATAATGTGATGTGCGCTTTCACTTCAGGCCCTGGAGGTGACTCCACTGCGCAGCCTGGGCAGTGCTGGCCCACAAAGCCTGGTCACCCACTGCCCAGTTTTCTCCCTCTTTGCTCTTGCAGTGCAGCACTCCCTAGCAGGAAAGTACCTTCTTTTCATGATACTGATGTGGAGATCCTCCTCCTGCTTTACTTCAGGGTGTTGACCATTGCTCTTATCACTCTCTTCGCTGTCATCACTATGCGAGAAAATTGAGGTCAGCTCTTTCTTCGGGATCCTGGTTGGAGGTAAGGGGATCGTCCTCTTCTCTGCCAGGCGACCCCGGTTCTGGCACAGGATGGAATTAGTTGGAATGGGAAAGGGTAGGAGGAAAAGAGAAGAAAACAAGAATTTGGTTAGGCAACCCAGAACCAAGCAGCTCCTCTCCAACGGCTGCCCTGTGAAGGCAATGCTGTTAGTCATTGCAGGTTTCAGGCCGGTATGCTGGGTGGGCAAAGGCTACGTTTGCTTTGCAAAAGACTTTTCAGCAAAGGCATATCTATATCGACTTCTTCCAGTTCTAATATTCCAGTCATGCACTTCTATCCTCTCCCCACCTCCTCATACCTACTTTGTGTCTCATCCACACCAACAGGAAAGGAAGATGGCAGCAGAAGGACGGAAGGGACCTTTAAAGGCCATCTAGTCCAACCTCCCTGCAGTGAGCAGGGCATCTTCAACCAGATCAGGTTGCTCAGAGCCCCGTCCAGCCTGACCTTGAATGTTTCCAGTGACGGGGCATCGACCACCTCTCTGGGCAACCTGTGCCAAGGCTTGACCACCCTCATCACAAAAAATTTCCTCCTTGTATCTGGTCTGAATCTACCTTCTTTTAGTTTAAAACCATTACCCCTTGCCCTATCACAGAAGGCCCTGCTCAGAAGTCTGTCCCCATCTTTCTTACAAGCCCCTTTTAAGTATTGAAAAGCCGCAATAAGGTCTCTCCAGAGCCTTCTCTTCTCCAGGATAAACAACCCCAACTCTCTCAGCCTTTTCTTTTTAGACACCATTCTCTATCTTCAGAATATTTCCTACCAAATGCTGCATACTAACATAGCAGAATAGGTTAAATTAAACCTTTGCCAGTAGCCCAGGGAAGATGTGATCCAGATAATCTAGAACACTTTTGACTGCAAAGGGAACACTGCCTGTGCCAGCCAGCAGCAGGTTTGACTCTCACACCAGTGAAGAGTCCACACCAAGCTCAGCTTGAATTACTGAGGCTGCTTTTCACTGCTCATTTGCATGTTCAGACGAATCTAGCAGATCCTGCCTTGTGCAGACTTTCCCTAGGTGGTCCTGGCAGTGGACTTCCCTCAACAATTCACTTCTGACAAGACACAAATAAACAGGAGGAAAATTCCCAGGAGGCAAAAGCTGCTTTTTCACTGCATGTGTATTTGTGTACAGAACCTAGCACAACATGACCCTGGTCCCAACCTCCCATCTTCTGCAAGTAGTGAGAACGTATTATAGATTACTCTGTCCCTGCACCCTTTGTGCCTGATCCACAAGAAGATATGAGCCTGGTGCAGCCTAGGCTAGAGTGTGACGGGTTTTTAGCTCTCACTGTGACAGATCATGTTTCTAGCACTTGGCATGTTCAGCTCGATCTGTGATTGACCAAGACACAGCCACAACACAAGCACTTACAGTGGGAGATGTACAGTAGGAACCCGAGGAGACTGCAACGTCATTGCCCCACAAAAATTAAAATTTTAGCAAACAGAATCACAAAATGGGGAAGGGAATCACAGCACGGGGAAGTGAAGCGCACAGTTTCATCTACATTGTTTGTACAGGTATGTAGGCATACGTCCTTCAATAGGACAAGTCATAGAAAAGAAACATTTTTAGCAAGGACTGGAACACAAGGAAGAAAGGTGTGTGAAACAGGTCGAGTAAGCGCAGAATAACATTCATCTGAGAACCGCTTCTCTGAAACGCTGACTCCAACCTTCCAAATAAACCTGGCAACACGAAAACGTCCTGGGAGAGCCAGTCAGGCTCTGTGCAGGGGAGAACGGCACAAGACGAAGTGATAGAAGAGACCAGGATTTTTTAAACAAATTAAGAACTTTCCACAAGTACAAAACAAAAACTTGTTTACCTCTGTCAACAAATTCCAGTTGTGGTCATTAAGGGGAGCCCTAACTGTTGTGCTAATTAGCTAAATCCATCTGGAAGGCATCGCCCCAAAGAGGCACACTGGCTTTCCCATTCTGATGCACTTCCAAGCCAAGAACACTGCTGGCTGTGAACAGCAGACACTCAAGGGAGAGGATAGCAGTGGGCCAAACCAGCTTCAAAACAGGAAAACGCGTGTATAGAAGGAAAAAGACACACACTTTCTTCCCGAGAGAGATGAGAAGAAGCAAAACGCACCCTTGGACAGCAACAAGGTGAATGCTCCTACACCTCTGAGTATCCCAAGTACAGAACTCAGCTCAAGCTGCAACAGGCTTTGTGGGGGTGTCCAAGCGTCCAGACTCAGACACAGGAGAGTATCTTCACTGTGAGTATCGCTGGGGACGCTGAGACCCACCTGCACAAGGCGAATTGGCAGGGTGTGAGGGGCCAACCGCATCCATGCGACCACCAGCAAACGCTTTCCCTCAGCCCTGTGGACTCCCTTACACAGCAGTAGAGATCCACTCACACGGCCCTTTGCAAAGAGGTTTCTCACTGCCTGCTCCCTGGAGGAACATGTGATATAAATTGCACTTTTCACAACCCTAAATACTTGTCATGCACCAGGTACACTTCTGCCCCTGCCCCTGTGCACACCGGGAAGGTGCGCAGAGCTTACCCTCTGTCTAAAGCCGTCTCAGTAACCCCAGCAGCACAGCGTCCAAAGGACAGCAGGGAGAAGAAGATGAGAGAAAGGGAGAAGTGAGGGGAAGGAAGGGAAAAGCAAGGAGGGCAGTATTTCCACCAGATTTCTGTCATGCTGAAAAGCTAGGACTTGGTATCAGCATGAGCTTTATCACGCTAAAGCTTTATATATTTTTCTGAAGTTGCAATTTATCATAACAATTAAAGAGGGAGGGAGGGTGTGCAAATTTCCGCTTCAAAATAATTGCAATTCACTCTCTGCTGTGACTTCACAGGCTAAAGAGAACGGCACTGATCAGATACTAACAATGATTTTATGGCCATTATGATACCTTTGAGCAGTTACCAGGTCTCAGTGACTGCCCAGGGACTCATCAGCCCTAACAAGAGTGAGAGTGCAGCAAGCAGGGAGGCACTAAGCCTAGCGAAACAGCCCACCAGACCAGGCACACAGGTCCCCTTCCCCCTGCTCCTCAGAAGGTCTATTCTTTGCCTTTCTGGAAATTGTACCCTTACACCTAAAGCTGCTGCATTGATATACACCTATACATAGACACATATATATGCCTATATACTTAATATACAAGTATGTATAGACATACCTATACTATGGACATCGCCTAACACACAGAGAGCTTCTCCCCTTAGAAGACAAATGACTGAACATGAACAGAAGAGAATCTGCACCTGCAGTGATCTCTGCTCACAGACGACCTGCACCACTTTTGCTCTGACAACATCAGAACCAGAGCCACGGTGGTTCCAGCGCCCTGGTGAACGCCTGCGTTCCGGCACTACCAATGCATTTTTGAAAGGTGTGTTTACTTTGTACTTCGTATTTTTGCCATTAGGTTTGGGGCATTTGATTTATTTATTTATTACATTTCTCCATTCCCAGAAAATTAAAATAGACTGAGCCAATCAATTCTGCCTTTTATGTTCACCTATAGTCAGCTTTGAATCAATTGCACCTTCTTAATCTGTTTAGAGGCATTCACCAGTAGATACACATTACTTATAAATTAAGCACAAAGGTAGCCAGGAGCCTGGTCCAGAACCTGCTACCATCAATTGTTTTTGCATCGACTTCAAAGCGCACTGGTCCAAGCTGCAAACAAAAAACACTCTATTGTGAGAAGCACTTCACCCAAGGAATCATTCCTCTGACTCTGGCTTTTGCTGAAGTCCTTTGCCAGTTGTGGAGACAGCTTACAGGACAGGAAGGCACCTACAGAGCTGAGCAGTATATGGAGATACCTACAGTTACCCAGGTTCAGGGTTATCAGCTATCACTCGGCACACAGTGGCAGGCAGTAAAGTACACACTTAGCAGAGCGGTGTTTTGTGCCAAGACAGACCCAGAGATTGCAGTGGCATCGCTATACATGGGGACGTACATGAGGACTGACAGATATTTGATTTAAGCCTCACATCTGCCATTAAAAAAGCCTGTATTTGTGTGACAGCCTCATTGCAGAGCGGTCTCACACATTAATGGGATGCTGATGTTGAACAATGAACCCTGTAAGCAGGGTTGAATATTTCAAAAAGCAAACTGCCTCCCAGTTTGTTGATATTCACTGGGATGTCTGATGCTTGGGAAAACAACCTGATCACTACCCACCTACTGCCAGAGCGCCAGGCACCTCGGGACTCTGGCTCCCCTCTTAAATAACTCCGTTTTCACACACACGAAGAAAAGGGGGAAGGTACGCTTTGCCAGCTGGCTTGCTTAAACTACTCGGACTGTTCTGGCCAGTGGGTCAGAGGGAGTATTTTCCACAGCTGCAGAGCCAACAGCTGTCCGTACAGGCGCAGTACCCCCAGCAAAACAACACGCAGCGGTAAATACATCTTACAGCTCAGCCCAGCACAGCCAGGCTGCCTGCCTGCCAGCTCCTTGCCCCGGGGAGGACAGACAGAAGGCGGTAAAAGGAACAGATTATACCCCTGAAAGCAGGGGGAACAGGGGATCCCCACCGAGGACCCCCTCAATACACACATCTGTGGGTGAAACAGAGCCAGCAAGCCCGAACGCTGCGGCAGAGTTCCTGCACAGATGCTCTCCTCTACCCTGCAAGGAACCCTCCAACCCCTGCGGAGCCTGCGAGGAGTCAAAGAGGTTTGCTTTCAGGACAAACACTGACTCAGCTCAGAGGAAACCTCCCCAGAGCTCGCACCTTCCTTTCGTAACACAAGGATTTCCGCCACCTCTTGGATAGAGGGCGGCAGGTTGGAGAACAGAGTAGCTCTTCTCCTCTCCTTCATCAGTGTAACTAGAAAGTACAACATTTCTGCAACTCACCCAAGCTTTCACAAGGGTGAGTGGTGAGGGCACGGCAGAACTGCCTCATGTATTAGGGCTCCGTTCCCTTTATACATTGTCAAACATTAATTTTGTGGGTTATGATCCCAGCTAACGAAACACAGCTGGGGTTGGAGTCAATAACCCT